GAAGGGGGGGGGGGAGAGAGAGAGAGAGATCAAAGGCAGCAAGAGGATCAGAATTGAAGTGCTAGTTGAGGTTGCTTATTATTTATTTGCGTAGCTGAAAATTAGAATATATTATTTTTGTATGGTATCGGTGATCAGTTTCTATGGTGACTTTCGATGAAAAACTTGAAAACATGGGCGTGTCGATTATGGGCGGAAGGTCGGAAACTAGCAAAAACTATATTGTTTAACAGAGGCCATGGGATTAGTGGAATGCTTAGATCATGCATGCATTAATTAATCCTTATTTAAAATATATTGTTTAAGAGAGGCCATGGGATTAGTGGAATGCTTATATCATGCATGCATTAATAAATCCTTACTAGTTTAAACTAGCTAGGTGGTCGGCATAGAAAATATCAAAATAATATAAGATTAAAAATGCTAATTTTAATTGCATGCTAAATCCAATAAGTACAAGTTTGATTGTAATACCAAACCCAACAATAATATAAATAATAATATCTTACTTTTTTATTTAAATTTTTAATCTTTATTTTACTTTTTTTTTTTAAATTTTTATATTTTTAATCTTTTTTTTTAAATTGTTTTTTCTTCAATAGTAATAATAGTATCTTTTAAAAAATTTATTAATGATAATAATAACAATAATAATTTTTAATTTTAACCTTCAAATAAAATCTAATTTTTTTTCAATATTGTTAATATTTTGTGAAAATTTATTAATTATTTTATAAATAATATTAATTATAATAAAAATAATAATATTTATAACATAAATAATAATATTTAAAAAAATCAGATAAAAAAACCTTGGGATCTGTTACTAGATAATATAATACCCAAAAGAATTAGATCTAAAAACCAGACTCATACGAAATGAATCTTGACATTAAACCTATTAACCTTGAGTTCTCATGCATAACTTATTAGCATTGGATTCTAACACTAATCCAAGCGAGTAGAACCCTAATGCAAGACTGACATCACTAACTTATCATCCATCCTTTAAAAGTCCATAACTCTATAATGATGTTTTTTTTTGGGTTTCGAGGATTTTTATCTAACTTTTTCTTTTTTTTGCATTTAAAGTATATATAACTTGATAAAATATCAAATTAATATTTTTTTAATGTTTTCTGATAATTTTAATATATTAATTAAAAAACACAAAAATATTATTTTTATATATTTTCAAGCCAAATCAATTTTTTAAAAACACCCTCCACCACATTACAAAACACCTATTTTTAGTTGACTGACCAATGCAGTCTTGCCTTGAGAAAAATATGCGGTAAAGAGTGGATTGGACATTTTAACTGCATCCGAGTCAATTTCTAGGGAGGAAGATTCTAAAACAGTGTGAGAGCGGGACTGTTCTTACCTTTGTTTATCTGACAATGAATTGCTGTAGCTTTGAAAGAGGTTAACATATATAGATTAGAGGTGCTAAAATTTTCCCAGCAAAATGTCAAAAATATTTAGCTGAGTGGATTCACGCAAGCATTTTACAGGGATTTTTATAATTATAATACAGTTAAGCCAGATGCTAAAGGTAGCTCAGATTTGATATATGGAGCACAAAAGTTCTATGGTGGCATTGCATGAATGCTGTGTTAGCCATGGTACCACTAGCCTGCAATGTGAGTTTTCTAAAAGTATCGGTTTACTGGATTCAAAATCCATTAGTATGGCATCAAGTACGGTCTATTGCTCTTGGAAGTACTATTCCGACAGAAAGCTGATGAAAAACATAAACTGAAAAATGTTGAAAGTGAACATTCTCATCATAAATCAAGTTTACATGTTCGGTGATATTTTCCATAATGCCCAGTGAGGCATGCAGATATCATGTAATATCCATGTGTGAAAGATTGGATACTATCATTTTGTGTACCTTTATTAAGAACGAACAAGTTCACTTACTGATGATGGGGCTTACAGTAATAGCTTATGCATGGAAAAAAGAAAACGAAAAAGTAAGCATCAACAAAGAAACCAAAGTTTTTGGAAGTTTCTTTATCTGCCACAAACATTCGCAGGAAAGAAGATGAATGATCCCAAAACATCAAAGAAGTTTAAACTAAATCCAAAAAGGAGAAAGAATACAGCAACAGCCTAATGTACAGTGAACATGGATGATGATATTGAATACCAAAACATCCATTTTCAAGTTTTTATTTTGGAAATTAACATTAGAGATCAGATCTTACTCTTGGTTTATTAGCACTTCTTATAATCAGGTTGAAGCACCAAAGCAAATCTCAGCACCATTCCCGCCAATTCCAGCAATCAAACATTGGAATCCGCAAGACTCCAGCTCAGCTATTACTTTATCTACAATTGTTCCTGACAGTACTGTATCATATAGTCAAGGGAGCATCTAACAAGTATGAAATGAGACTATAACATGTCAGTCACGAAATGACTATGCTGTTTTGATTCCTCGGAGACAGTTTCCAGGATGTGATACCGTGCGTGGGTGTGTGGCTTTGTTGGTGGGTTATCTCTCTTCATGACAATAAAACTCACAAACTTGCACTACTTAGATCATTTAACATAACATATTCATATCTTTGATCACAAACCAAGGATAAGGCTATAAAAATGATATAAAGTTTTTAGATAAAAACAGGCAGGTAAAGATACTCTAATGGCATAGAAGCACCAATGACACCTATTATTAAAATCAAATCATTGCAATCCAACTTAAACTATGGCAATGGAAAACACGCCCCCCCCCCCCCCCCCCAAATTTAAGCATTTGCCCACTTCAACAGCATAAATTATAGATGTTTGTTTATGAACAGTATAGATGCATTTTTTGGAGGCAAGATAATTTATGCAATGTATCATAACTACATGGTCAAGGGATTCATCATATAAGAATACACACATAAACTGGTAAAAAAAGAATTGGAGACCTACAAATGAGTAACATAAATGTTAAAAAAGTAATCACAAAGGATACAGGTCGGCAACAATGTCAGCACACAGCCACCACCTCCAGCTCCAGTCAACTTAGAAGCTAACTTGTATTTCAATGTTGTTCGAAGAACAGTTTCTATAGAAGCATGGCTTACCCCCATGCATTGAAGCAAACCTTGATTCATTTCCATTAACTCTTCCAACTTCTCTTCCTTCGCAGTCAGGGACAGATCATCTGGAGCAGGTGTCTGGATGACATTAGCCAATTCCTTACTGATAGAATCAACGGCATTAAAAACAGAATTCATGGCATCAGGGTGTCTTAAGGTTCTTTCTGAAACTCCAGCAACCAATGCTTTTGTGTTCCTCCCAACTTTTGTGTTAGTAATGAGCATTTTCAAGGGCATGCTGGACTTGATACGTGTTAAATTACCTGACCTGAACTTGATCATATTGCCTGGTTCATGGGAGTAAAGGTCAGAAGATAAAAACTGCAGAGAGAGACAGGGATCCTACAGGTCAACATACCTCCTCTGCAAGCCAGAAAAGTGAATACTTAAAAAAAATTGAGAAATGCCAGCATGAATTCATCAACAATTTTTGATATTCTTAATGTTACAATTTTACAGGAAGAACACCGTATCTTATCCAAGAAACACTTAACTGCAAAACCTCGTCAATAGTCACTACAATGCAGAAGACCCAGCAGTATGCAAATATAAAAAATCTAGTGCAAGAAGATGAATTTAGCAACAGTGCATGTACTTTTACCTACCATATGTGCTAACAGTGTTGTCAATCCCAGATGGCTTTCCATGAATTATCTTTTCACCTTCAAAAGCCCATTTGTTCAATAATTCAAGCTCAGACTCCCCAACAATTAACCACCCTTGTTGTTTCATGTCCACGTTTACAGAGTCTGAGCAAGCAAGAAGAGCTGCTGAGAATGCAACACAAAGGGCAGCAGATGAACCCAGGCCAGAACCGAGTGGAAGTTCAGAAGTGATGACTACAGTGGCAGGTTTGAATCTGATGCAAGGAAGGAACCATCTTAGAAATTGAAATAGCATAAGAAAAGAGTCAATGTTAAAGGCATTACATCATACCCTAGGATAGACGTGTATAGCCACAAAAAAGCTGTCACTCCAGAAGCAAGAGAAATTTTTGCCTCCGGAATATTTTGTTCTTCAACCAAAGCTAAAATTAATTTCATTGATGCTGTTGAGCAGGACGTGGGGGTTGAAGGGAAAGGGCCTCCTAAGCTAGATAGTGATTCTTTGATTCTTCCAATTGGCCAAGAAAATGCTAAAGCCATATCCTTGAGCTGGAGTGTCAGTCTATCATCATTCTCTGTGGGATAAGCAAATAAATGAAAACAAATTTGATAGAAGTCGCAACATCACAGCATCAAAGAAGGGTGGAAACAAAAATAAGAAAACATGTACGTCAATAGGTGAAATCCAACAATAATAAAAGTGACCAATCTAAGTTTTCATGTTCATTCATGAGCAGATAAGAAATCTCACGGAATTGCACATATCATATCCTTAGTAACATGCAAAATGCAGATCTGATAGATCACCATCTGATTATGAGACAATGTTTTCTGGTAATGGCATTTTAGGAAACCTTAGTTCTTCATAACAGTCATTAGCATCCTCGCAAAAACCAAGCTTGATCGTTCCTAGTTCAAATGCATACAGTTTTCATGTTTAATATTTAACCCTGATTGATTTTTGGCATTTGTCAAAGAGTGAGGTAAAAAATATAAAACCTTAGTTAGTAGTGTACAAATTAAAAAAAGAATTCTCCAAATACACAACCAGTAGTATATCTATTAGTAGTAGGTTCAATATTACAAAATGTCACCAGTTCCTCATATTGAAAAACAAACTCTAAGTATTCAGTTTAAAGCATGCCAAATTAATCACAAACCACATAGCAACTAAATTGTATTGCGCTTTGTAGTTCAAGTAGTCATTCTGATTTGCAATGGCTGCTTTATCTTGATGGATTCTAAGAGCTTTAGGGTGTGAAGTTTGTGGGGGGGGGGGGGGGGGGGGGGGGGGGGGGGGGTTTGGGAGAAATAGTTTTAAAAGCATTGTTTGCCATTGACAGATCATTACAATGGCAGCAAATCATCTTCGTGTCCAAGAAACTCAACTGACTTATTAAAAAAACAGAAAGAAAGAAACAATTTTTAAGTCATGATACTCTTACATTGAAACAATAACCATAAAGAAAACACCAGAGGAAAACTCCATTTAGAATAGTTGGGAACAGACACGTGACTTGAATCACAGATGAATATAACAGGGAAGTTGTCATTTCATGAATCACTCATTGCAGAAACAAAACTCTTAATGGATCTCATTCGATCATATATGTAGACAAACCAGCAGATCTCAACAGATTTTCTTTCACGCACTGTTTGAAGCAAAACTCAAATGACCTCAACCTCAGAAGCCTAAGCACTATAAATTTTAGGTGCAAAATAGGTAGCCATTCAAATCCACACACATTCGAATCATAATCTAGCAGAAAACAGCATACAACTTCATTGAAATGTCAAAAGATCCTGGCACAAGATAAAAGAAAAATAAAACAAAATCCATAAGGATAGCTTCCAATCAGTATTGCAATACAATCGCAATAGGCAAACAATCCCAGAAAGACCAAAGAAATTAGAATCTTGCAGATACACCTTCAATCAATCTCAAGTTCTCCGCTTAAAGTATAAACTTCCAAAGGGAATCTTCAAATCAATATTTCAAACAATCCCAATACAAAATCAATCCCAATTAACACCAATGAAAAGCCAAATATTCAAAGTCACAATACACATCTTCACATAATCTCAAAGGGTATCTCTCGACCAACAATTCAAAAATCCCAATACAAAAACATATCCAAAAAATCTACCTTTATGCATATTCAGCTCAAGACAACATCAAGTCTACATCTTTCAATCAATAAATAAATAAATAAATAGATAAACCATGGTGACTAATAATTAAAGTAAATGTGTTAAAGCAGAGTTCTTTTACCAGTGGAAGGGAGAACTTGAATGGAAACATAGGTGTATAGATCAATGGATGCAGCAACAGCAGTGGATCCATGAACAACTGCATGTTCACCTGAAAGAATTATTTTTCCTGGAGCTCTTGCTTTCACTTCCATCTTGGTTTCTTCAAGAATCTCGGACTACCAAAGACACCATTGGCTGATTGTTATTGGTACTGTAAGAGTAAAATAAGATGGGGAGATTCATAAAGATCCATTAGTGTGGCTGCTAAGACAAAACCAAACAAATGAGACGATAATTCTTGTTTCTGTTGTGTCCCACTTCTATAGTTTTATTAAATAATCACTAATTTATTTATTTTAGCCTAATTTATTTATTTATTTTTGCTTAATCTTTCCACTAATTCAACTTTTTCTTACCAATGATTTCATAAATAAAATAATGTGAGTTCCTATGTTTATAAAATGCACAAAATAATTATTGATTGAAAAATAGTCCTTTTAGAGCACTATTTTTTGCTTAAATATGATTTTTATTGTATTAATTATTATGATTTTAAAAATTATATAGATTCAGTCATAGTCAGGATTCCATTATCTTTTATAACCCCTTTAGGGGATTTTATACTTATTGCATTTGTAGTATTTGACAAGGGTTCCTGCCCTGTTTTTCAAATAAGATAAAGCATATGAAATCAGTATGAAAATCTCCAACATAAAAAAAAAAAAGTGAAATTTCAAGTTTGTTTAGTTCTTAAAGAGGTTGGATTTTTGTAAGTTGTTGATGAATTGACTTCTCCTACCAAAATTCATTGAAGAATTTTATTTTTTTGAAAAATCTCGTACATTGACCTAATTTATTGGACCAATTAATTCACTCCTCTAATTAATTAGATTATTTTTGTCTATGTAAACCATTTTTTTTCTCTATATGAATATAAATTAACCAATCATTTTGTTAAAGGCTTAAACTTATTGATAATTGAGTTTATTCTGCATGTTATCACTCAAAGTTTTAATGTTAACAAAGGCTTAAAATTTTCTTATAAATTCACCGCTCTAAACATTAGAAAATAAAATAAATAAATAAATAAAAAACCCTACCACTTTGTGACTAGATCGGTCTTGGTATATGAAAATTGTTCCAAAGTTCCCTTTATTGTTTAAACACAATTTTTTTTATATTAATGTATTTAGTATACGTTGCATGTCATTTGTAAAAATTATTTTTTTATATTAAAATATTTTTTATTTTTAATATTCATATACCAAAATCACAATAAATGCTAAAAAAATTATTAATTTAAAATGTCATGGGTTGAAACAGACTTTATAAAATATGCCGATTATGTTGAAAAATACCATAAGAAAAAAATTATTAATTTGAAATGACATGGTACTAAAAAAATTATTAATTTGAAATGACATGGGGTGAAACCGACTTTATAGAATATGCCGATTATGTTGAATTCCATCTGATCAATCATCATAGAGATTTGGTCATATTATGGTGTCTTCCTAAGGTTTTTTTCCTTTTTTTTTTTTTTTTTCAATGGGACTTGTTAAAGCTGCCCTAATGATGCCGTTGTGTTTTGGACAAGGTCTAGAATTTACATTAAAAAAGTCGTCACCTTTGTATGTTTTCGTGGGTAAACTACATTCTAGTCCTTGACATTAAGATTTCTCAATATTACTCTCTGTAGTCTTAAAACGTTTCGATTTTGTCATTTGACATGTATTACACCTATGATTTTTTAAATTAGTTAGATGGATGCAATTGCAAATTCTTGTTATTTTAATTTCTTTAACAGTATTTTAAAATTATAATTTATAAAATGATTCTCTGACATATATTATACAGGGGAGTAGGTTCTTGTTAATTTCCTAACCACATTTTAATAAGAGTTTCCCTCTCTTCTGTCCAAGACTCTCATTATTTATTTTCATGTGATTTGAGCTTTAGTCTTGGAGAGAGAGGGGCAGAGAGACAGAGAGAGAGAGAGAGAGGGAGAGAGGGAGGGAGGGAGGGAGGGAGGAACCAAACATCAAGATAGAGAGGCTAACAGCAATACGTCCAGGAAGCAAATCAATAATTTTTATCGAGAATTTATCTCTTCTATAGAACAAGCAAGGTATTTCTTTTCAAGAAATAATGAGTTTTTTCTCTTCTTTTTAACGCTTCAAGCTTATGAAATGTCATAAATAAATACTATTTTACAGATACTCTGAATAAAGTCCTACAGAGTTTCAGTAGTAGAGGCTACATTTCTCTTTTTGAATAAAAAAGAAGAAGAAGGACGTCTATTGATTGATTAAACCATCTATTTTAGCTTGATATTCTTATATGTGCTTTCCTATATAGTCTTTTCAATTTCCATTTGTAAATCAGCATAAATCACTTTCGAATTTATTTAATCCCTGGTGCCCGTTTGTGTACCACATGAGGTTGTAGTTGAGAGCTTAAAGATTGTAGCCAAATCAAAGTTTTCAGTGGTGCTTTATGCGTGCAAAATATGTAGTTCAAACTAAATGGTTTAAGAAGACTGACTTCAGAATCCATGTATGGTCACAGGATGGAATCAGGAAAAGATGGAATGGTGAGGTGAGAAGACAGGGTAGAGAAAATGGCAGAGTCGGCGGTGAGCCTTGTTGTTGATAAATTGCTTCCGTTGCTAATACAAGAAGTGAAACTATTGAGAGGCGTCCATGATGAACTGGTTGGTGTCAAAGATGAATTGGAAGTCATTCGTGCTTTCCTGAAAGATGCAGATTCAAAGGCTGAGAAAGAAGGCATCGGTGAGGGTGTGAAAGTACTGGTAAACCAAATAAGAGAAGAAGCTCATCACATTGAAGATGTCATCGATGATTACATGTTGCATGTGGCAAGACATCCTGATCATCGACATGGACTCCTACGTCGTATTGCTTCTTTGATTAAGACATTCAGTTCGCGTCATGAGATAGCATCAGAGATTAAAGACATCAAATCATCACTTCTAGATATCAAGAATAGAAGTCAAACATTCCACTTCATTTCTTCAAATCAGGGAGCATCAAGCAGCAGCAGCAATGCGGGAAGAGGGTTAATGGATCACCCTCGACTGAGTTCTCTTTTCATTGAAGAAGCTGAGCTTGTTGGGATTGAATCTCCAAGAGATGAATTGATAAGCTACTTATTAAGTGGAGTTTCTCAAAGGACAGTGATCGCGGTGGTTGGAATGGGAGGTGTGGGAAAAACCACAATGGCCAGGAAAGTATTTGACAACCACAGGGTGAAAGAGCACTTCCAATACTATGCTTGGATCACTGTGTCTCAATCATATGATAAGAGGGAGCTACTACGGAGCATTCTGAAGAGATTCTATGAAGTGAAAAATGGGTCTTTTCCTGATAGAATTGTTGCAATGGAGGAGGAGGAGTTGATCAAGGAGATTAGAGAATATTTAGGACAAGAACGATTCCTGGTTGTATTTGATGATGTATGGGAAATTGGTTTTTGGGGAAACATGGAGCATGCGTTGTTAGATCATGGTAATGGCAGTAGAATATTGGTCACAACAAGAAATGAGGATGTTGCTAATTTTAGCAGAGGATCTTCATTGGTCCATGTCTATCATATAGAACCTTTACCTCAAAAGGAGGCGTGGGAACTCTTCTGCAATAAAGCATTCAGGTCTGAGTTTAAAGGGCAATGTCCAAAAGATCTGGAGGAATTGTCACAGGACATTGTTAGAAGATGTGGAGGATTGCCTCTGGCAATTGTGGCTGTTAGTGGACTTCTAGCAACCAAAGAAAAGAGCATTCTAGAATGGAAAAAAGTCCTCAGTGGCCTTGGTGGTTCTGCAATAGTGAGTGATCCATACATTGATAGTGTCACTAACATTCTATCTCTCAGCTATGGTGATTTGCCTTACCACCTCAAATCTTGTTTCTTATATCTTGGCATGTTTCCTGAAGATTTTTCCATTGTGCATGGAAGAATAATTCGATTATGGGTGGCTGAGGGTTTTGTAGAAGAAAAACCAGGCATGACACTAGAGGACGTTGGAGAAGAATACTTCATTGAACTCGTTCGTCGAAGTTTGGTTCAAGTGGATGAAGTTTTTCACGGAGTTCCCTTAACATGTCATGTTCATGATATGGTCCGTGATGTCATTCTTTCCAAGTCAGAGGAACTGAGTTTCTGCCATGTTTCCAGCAGTTGCTCAACTTTTCAAGGCATAGCACGACATCTCTCCATAAGCAACAGAGGAAGCAACACTCCAAAGAGTAGCACCAAGTCTCAAACTCGCTCTATTATGGTCTTTGACGAAGTAAAGCTGCAGAAGGCCACAATTTCAGTGATACTTGCAAAATTCAAGCTTTTGACTACATTAGATTTTGAGAACTGTCCTATAGATCACCTTCCCAAAGAACTTGGAAATTTGCTACATCTAAGGTATTTAAACTTGAGAAATACCAAATTAGCAAAACTTCCAAAATCAATAAGAAAGCTGCATAACCTGGAATCTTTAGATTTGAGATATTCTTTCGTGGAAGAGCTGCCAGTTAAGATCAGTAATTTCCCTAAATTGCGACATCTTTTGGCTGAAGATAAAAAGACTCGGGCATTGAAGATAAAAGGCAGCATTAAGCATTTGGAGTTCTTACAAACATTGTCTAAAATTAATGTGGATGACAATGTGAGCTTGATCAATGATGGCCTGCAAGTGTCAACAGAATTGAAGACATTGGGTATCAGAAATTTGAAAAGGGAACATGGGAGGTATCTATGCACTGCATTGGAGAAGATGACTCACCTGCGGTTGCTACTTGTTTGTTCAATAAATCCCACGAATGAAGTTCTTGAATTGCAATCGATGTCTTCTCCTCCTCTTGAGCTGCGTAGTATCTGGCTTGAGGGCCAATTAGAAAGGTTACCAAATTGGATTTCCAAAATACACAATCTCGCTGAACTGAGATTGAGTTTCACAAACTTGAAGGATGATTCCTTTGACGTCCTTCAAGCTCTGCCCAATCTAAATCGTCTTGGACTCGTATGTGCATACAATGGAGAGAAGATGCATTTTGAAGGAGGAGGGTTTCAGGAACTCAAGTCTCTGTATCTTGTAGGCTTGAGCAATTTGAAGGAAATGTCAATAGACGAAGGAGCATTGCCACTTCTTGAAAAGCTACAGATGGGACCTTGCCCAAAACTGAAGGAAGTGCCTTCTGGATTTAAGTACTTGAGATATCTCAAAGATTTATCTTTCACAGGGATGACAAATGAGTTCACTCAAAAATTGTCACAGCAAGAATCAGAGAAAGTGAGCCATGTACCGATTGTCCGATATGATGGTACTTATGATCCCACTGACGAAGGATCGTATGAAGCATGGGTGGAGCGATATTTCAGACGAGTAGGAATCAAAATGACCTAATATTTTTGGAGGTTACAGGTATGCTGCATCCCTCTAGATCTTACTTCTTTAAAAAGGTACCAACTTGTTTTGGCAAATGCCAAGTTGATCGATGATCTTAGAATAACGTTTGCTATTTCTACATGTATGTTGTTGCCTGGGATCTGTACATTTTTCAGGACTTCAGACAATCAATCAACCTCAGAGAAATGCGAAGTCAGCCCTGCTATGAAAGTTGGTGAGAAGATATGAACGTGGTAGATGCGTTTGTTTAATGTTTCTGGGGAGACACACCTATTTAGTAAAACCTGTTTTGAGCTTGTTAATTTGTTTCGAGTGTTGATATCTGTGGCATGCAGAAGTTAAGAAATATCTGGATTTGCATGTGTTATTACCATAGCTGAAGCCAAGCCTTTACTGCTGCTGGCTTCTCGGTTTTTCCCTACACTTTTGTGCTGGTATGGTAGCTCAGCTAAAATTAAGCAATCATAATGAAGGAAAACGTAGGATCGCTTTAGTTTCGACAAGAGTTTCCACCCTATCTGTTACAAAGGCAGATCACCGAAGGAAACTCCTCATTATGTTCGAAGCAAAACCTACAGAAGAAACTCCCCTAGGAACACGAACATCAAGTGTGTCATTCTTGATAGTGACAGTGAGAGCCTGGCAGAATCCTGATAATCCAGCAATGTACAACTAGCTCAAAGCTTTGATATGAAAGATTTCCTGTGTTATTAAATCTTTTTGTAGCTTTGAACATTAGGGATAGCTTGGATACCTAAATCCTGCAAGTACAAGGAGGGAACACATCAGAACTCCTAACTGAACAGAAGCATAATTTGTGGCCTAATAAAATGTACACTACAGAAGATTTCCAGGCATAAGATTTCCTCCTTAGCAAAATAATCCATGATTGGTAATCTCTTGATTGAGATACCTCGAAGAGAGTTGTGAGGGCAGCAAGTAATTCAGTCTTTACAGAGTGGCAAGCATCAATGTTTACACCTCTGCAGTTCTAACAGCTTCATATGCCATTTCTGATGTTCCTAGACCTCAAATCAGGTTTGATTGTAGTGACCCACTCACCATGGTTTACCTTCAATTCATACCTATGCTTCAGATAATAATGAAATTCAGAAATCAGTAATTGTTTAGAAACAGCCTCGTTCTGGTTGATTGATCAAATAACACCTTGGTTATCATTCAGTTTGATTGATCAAATCCATTCCAAGAAATTATTATGATAGTCAGGCTGTAATTATCAATGTTTACAGCATAGACGAGATATATCCGAGCTCGTATCTTTCTCCTCTTCAAAAATTATGTTTTTAATTCTCTCTCTTATTTCTCTCAACTCTGTATATCTATGTCTCTCCTATATTGCACGCACTGATGATTATAACTTGAGCAACATAGAGTTTCTCGCTTGGTGAGTGATTTATCATGTAATTTTAGTTCTAACTAGTCACGTGACCCACACCCTATGCTACTGGCCGGAAAAAAAAAATCTGAGCGTCAAGAGACTGCAAGTTTGTTTCAAAAAAGCAAGAAGTGTTTGTCGACATGCAATCCATGCATGACGCTGTGATAAGTTTTCAAGAAATAGGAAA